ACAACCACTACAACAGTCCACAGACAACCACTACAACAGTCCACAGACAACCACTACAACAGTCTACATACAACCACTACAACAGTCCACAGACAACCACTACAACAGTCTACAGACAACCAGCACAACAAATGTAAAAGGATATTACAAGTTTCGTTATTAAATTCATATCTGTCAATTCATTTGATATGTACTACGTCTGCAATAATATGTTTAGTTCTTTCACCGGAAACACTGCCGTTATTCTACCATGCACTGCGTCTCTGATTTCACACAAACTACAATCAAACCGTTTGGTGTGATCTTGTCTGACATCTCCGGAATGATCATACGTCTTGCATTCAAATTCGCCCTAACAGTGCTTGGTTTTGTGATCGAGCGTTTTATGGCGTTCGTGCACCAACGTTTTTGGTAGGTAAATTATTTACCACAGTATAACTGTCAAAATAAACATGGTTGCGATAACGGAAATCGATTACATAATACAGGCTCGGGCAACGAAACTGATGGAAACATAAACAAGCGCCTTCCGAAATCTTTACGAGGGCAAGTGTAAGACATACTCCGCTATTCTGCGCCAAATATCTCATATCAAAATCCATTCGTGTGTATTTTGAATTATTTTCTAATATCTTTGATCAGTTATAAACCACGTAAATCCAGTTCTAAGACTTTAAGGTCTGATGTATTGACAGAGCCTCTGAGCCCACTTGTATAAAGCATCTCAACTCTTGAGATTTCCTCAAGTCTAAAATTTTCCATAGACAATACATTGCTTGAGATTTTCCTTGGTATGCATGTATATGTATAAATATATAAATCAAGCATCATTCATTAAATAAGGTCAATGAGCTGAAATCACTTGACCGTTTTTAGAAAAAGAGACGATGATAAATCAACATGAAACTCTATCAAAATAATCCAAACCAAAGAGCAGTGCTCAATACACACTGATGCGCGAGTGCATTTGCGTCCAAAGCTATTGATGTACCGGGTTAGCGTGTTTGTCGACTGCACAAGACTACACTGTCTGCACCGAGAACTCCATCTATCGCCGTACACATTTACCGCTAATGTTAGGCTATATCTAATTTAATTTCTATTGATTTTGATGTAAGATAAAGCGTTTGAGGAGCGGCGCTACACAAATCGTGTTACTTGTATGTTTTACCTGCAGCAATGTGAAGGTACCAGTAGATCAATAGCGGAAATGGTAAATACATCTACAGTTATAGATAGTCCATTAAATTATCTGTTAAGCATCGGAAAACAACATTTCAATATTTCCTCACCTGTCGAATGACGTGGAATGTGATTTTGGCGCTTGGGAAGGAGAAGGCGTCGTCGATGTTCTTGTCTTATTTGGAGATGCATTTGGCGTAGAGGATTTCCCGTGTGAACGCGGAGCTTTCTCGTAAATATTGCCATGTCCATTCACCCCATTGTGCTCCTTGGTATTCCCTCCCTTGCCAATTAAACGTTCGTTACTTTTATGTAACACTTTCGATTTTGAATTCATTCTCGCTCGTTCGTCTTTGGCCCTAATTTTGGTTAATTCCAGTTGCCCGTTGTCGTCCTTGAATGTCAAGTTGTCATACGCACCGGGGCCAAGGCACAGGCCTTCAAACCCAGCCCTGTTTTGCGACCTTGGCGAGTCACTGGCCCCTACTACCTCGTCATCTTTGACCCTGTACTTCTCCTTCCGTCTCTCCCGAGGGGAATCCGACGCTTCACTGTCGCTCCGACTCCGGGAAGATCGGTGTGACTTACCAGGCCCGGGGGATGTGCGGAGATCGGTCCCCTTTGACGGATTGGGGTCTAAGTCCATGGTGTAGTGAAGGATTGCCCTAGTTTAACCGGGGATACATAACGAGCTCTGCCAACTATGTCCAGCTCTCAATCACTTACAGCTGGCCTATACAATCCCTGCTTTAAAACGTGGAGCGTGTCGGGTCGTGCGCGGACGTCTGTGTCTCGCGGACTGGTGAATCCGACCCCAATACACACACATACAATGGGCTGTCCTCTTTTCTCGACTGATCCGCCTATCTGTTGTCTCTTATCCAATCATCGATCCGTGATGAGATGGCTTTTACAATATAATATGACTTTTCAATAGGGATGTGTAACGCTGATAGTCAGCTTACAATGAACTGCTAGTGCCGTGTCATCGGGTTTGTGTGGCGATTCTACTCTCCGTTGGCTCGCCAAGGAAACACAGAGCTGTCTATACATATTGCACAAGTTTGCTTGATGTCATTTCGAAAACACGATTTACATAATATTAAAAGGACCGCACACTCGTCATACATACACGCTGTATATATATATGTAAATCACACGTTTTGCTGGTTATACTTGCATTAATCTAAACACATTTACATGCTATACAATGAATGACCGGTGTGTATGAAATAGAAGCACGATACACATTTATAACGCACATGTATAGATTTTCCCTGTAAAGGCAGTACTGCGTCATAATGCCCCCGATATAGCTCTACCTGTAGTTTCTCTCTGGCAATATTTTAATGATTAATAAGTATCGTCTGTGGGAAGGTTTCTCAATATTAAAAAAAATGTTATGGAATTGTTGTCCATGATTTTTGACTTTATTGAGACTCGGTTTCAAGGACATATAATTTTTATATAGTTGAAAGAGGATAAGGTTTAGGTGTTCCTATACCGGAGATATTTATGTCAAAATATCTGGTGCTCTACATGTAGACGAGGTTCGGGGTAGAATACGTCTGGGAGGTGTTGTTCAGGCTGCAGTATATGAGGTGTTGGAGATACAAACGACAAGGTAAAGAGCACCTCATCGCGATGGTGCTCCGGATATAGGTACGCAATGTGTACGATAAGTTTGCGTCTATGATGCTGTTGGGATAAGAAACATACAGTGAGGATTGACTAAAGAGTTCATGATGGAAATGGGCTTATAATGGTGCCCCATGTAGATACATACAATGAGGATTGACTAAAGAGTTCATGATGGAAATGGGCTTATAATGGTGCCCCATGTAGATACATACAGTGAGGATTGACTTAAGAGTTTATGATGGAAATGGGCTTATAATGGTGCCCCATGTAGATACATACAGTGAGGATTGACTTAAGAGTTTATGATGGAAATGGGCTTATAATGGTGCCCCATGTAGATACATACAGTGAGGATTGACTTAAGAGTTTATGATGGAAATGGACTTATACTAGTGCCCCATACAGATACATACAGTGAAGATTGACTTAGGAGTTCATGATGGAAATGGGCTTATAATGGTGCCCCATGTAGATACATACAATGAAGATTGGCTTAAGAGTTTATGATGGAAATTGGCTAATAATGGTGCCCCATGTAGATACATACAGTGAGGATTGACTAAAGAGTTTATGATGGAAATGGGCTTATAATGGTGCCCCATACAGATACATACAGTGAGGATTGACTTAGGAGTTCATGATGGAAATGGGCTTATAATGGTGCCCCATGTAGATACATACAATGAAGATTTGCTTAAGAGTTTATGATGGAAATTGGCTAGTAATGGTGCCCCATGTAGATACATACAGTGAGGATTGACTTAAGAGTTTATGATGGAAATGGGCTTATAATGGTGCCCCATGTAGATACATACAGTGAGGATTGACTAAAGAGTTTATGATGGAAATGGGCTTATAATGGTGCCCCATGTAGATACATACAGTGAGGATTGACTAAAGAGTTTATGATGGAAATGGGCTTATAATGGTGCCCCATGTAGATACATACAGTGAGGATTGACTAAAGAGTTTATGATGGAAATGGGCTTATAATGGTGCCCCATGTAGATACATACAGTGAGGATTGACTAAAGAGTTTATGATGGAAATGGGCTTATAATGTTGCCCCATGTAGATACATACAGTGAGGATTGACTAAAGAGTTTATGATGGAAATGGGCTTATAATGGTGCCCCATGTAGATACAAGCAGTGAGGATTGACTAAAGAGTTTATGATGGAAATGGGATTATAATGGTGCCCCATGTAGATACATACAGTGAGGATTGACTTTAGAGTTTATGATGGAAATGGGCTTATAATGGTGCCCCATGTAGATACAAGCAGTGAGGATTGACTAAAGAGTTTATGTTGGAAATGGGATTATAATGGTGCCCCATGTAGATACATACAGTGAGGATTGACTTAATGTAAGATACTGTACTTTGGTATGGTTGAGCTCACTCATGTTATGGTAATGTAAGTTACTTACTTTGGTATGGTTGAGCACACTAATGTTATGGTAATGTAAGATACTGTACTTTGGTATGGTTGAGCTGACTAATGTTATGGTAGTGTAAGATACCGTACTTTGGCATGGGTGAGCTCACTAATGTTATGGTAATGTAAGATACTGTACTTTGGTATGGTTGAGCTCACTAATGTTATGGTAGTGTAAGATACCGTACTTTGGTATGGGTGAGCTCACTCATGTTATGGTAATGTAAGACGCTATAATTTGGTATGGTTGAGCTCACTAATGTTATGGTAATGTAAGATACTGTACTTTGGTATGGTTGAGCACACTAATGTTATGGTAATGTAAGATACTGTACTTTGGTATGGTTAAGCACACTAATGTATTGGTAATGTAAGATACTGTACTTTGGTTTGGTATGGGTGAGCTCACTAATGTTATGGTAATAAAAGATACTGTAATTTGGTATGGTTGAGTTCACTAACGTTATGGTAATGTAAGATACTGTACTTTGGTATGTGTGAGCTCACTAATGTTATGGTAATGTAAGATACTGTACTTTGGTATGGTTGAGCTTACTAATGTAATAGTAATGTAAGATACTGTCCTTTGTATGGTTGAGCTCACTAATGTTAAGGTAATGTAAGATACTGTATTTTGGTATGGTTGAGCTCACTAATGTAATGGTAATGTAAGATTCTGTACTTTGGTATGGGTGAGCTCACTAATGTTATGGTAATGTAAGATACTGTACTTTGGTATGGTTGAGCTCACTAATGTAATAGTAATGTAAGATACTGTACTTTGTATGGTTGAGCTCACTAATGTTATGGTAATGTAAGATACTGTATTTTGGTATGGTTGAGCTCACTAATGTAATGGTAATGTAAGATACTGTACTTTGGTATGGTTGAGCTCACTAATGTTATGTTAATGTAAGATACTGTACTTTGGTATGGGTGAGCTCACTAATGTTATGGTAATGTATGAATCTTTACTTTGGTATGGTTGAGCTCACTAATGTTATGGTAATGTAAGAATCTTTACTTTGGTATGGTTGAGCTCAATAATGTTATGGTAATGTAAGAATATTTACTTTGGTATGGGTGAGCTCATAAAATTGGTAGTAATATAAGACACTACGATATGGATAAGCATATACAAATGATGGTAATGTGAGATAAAACGGTATTAACGAGAAATTACCTTTTTTGAGGTCATAAAGGTGGTGGTAACGTGATTTTATACGGTATGGATTAGCTCGTAAAGGCGGTGGTAACGTGATTTTATACGGTATGGATTAGCTTATAAAGGCGGTGGTAACGTGCTTTTATACGGTATGGATTAGCTCATAAAGGCTGTGGTAACGTGATGGATGAGCTTATAAAGGCGGTGGTAACGTGCTTTTATACGGTATGGATTAGCTCATAAAGCCGGTGGTAACGTGATTTTATACGGTATGGATTAGCTCATAAAGGCGGTGGTAACGTGATTTTATACGGTATGGATTAGCTCATAAAGGTGGTGGTAACGTGATTTTATACGGTATGGATTAGCTCATAAAGGTGGTGGTAACGTGATTTTATACGGTATGGATTAGCTCATAAAGGCGGTGGTAACGTGATTTTATACGGTATGGATTAGCTCATAAAGGCGGTGGTAACGTGATTTTATACGGTATGGATTAGCTCATAAAGGCGGTGGTAACGTGATTTTATACGGTATGGATTAGCTCATAAAGGCGGTGGTAACGTGATTTTATACGGTATGGATTAGCTCATAAAGGCGGTGGTAACGTGATTTTATACGGTATGGATTAGCTCATAAAGGCGGTGGTAACGTGATTTTATACGGTATGGATTAGCTCATAAAGGCGGTGGTAACGTGATTTTATACGGTATGGATTAGCTCATAAAGGCGGTGGTAACGTGATTTTATACGGTATGGATTAGCTCATAAAGGCGGTGGTAACGTGATTTTATACGGTATGGATTAGCTCATAAAGGCGGTGGTAACGTGATTTTATACGGTATGGATTAGCTCATAAAGGCGGTGGTAACGTGATTTTATACGGTATGGATTAGCTCATAAAGGCGGTGGTAACGTGATTTTATACGGTATGGATTAGCTCATAAAGGCGGTGGTAACGTGATTTTATACGGTATGGATTAGCTCATAAAGGCGGTGGTAACGTGATTTTATACGGTATGGATTAGCTCATAAAGGCGGTGGTAACGTGATTTTATACGGTATGGATTAGCTCATAAAGGCGGTGGTAACGTGATTTTATACGGTATGGATTAGCTCATAAAGGCGGTGGTAACGTGATTTTATACGGTATGGATTAGCTCATAAAGGCGGTGGTAACGTGATTTTATACGGTATGGATTAGCTCATAAAGGCGGTGGTAACGTGATTTTATACGGTATGGATTAGCTCATAAAGGTGGTGGTAACGTGATTTTATACGGTATGGATTAGCTCATAAAGGCTGTGGTAACGTGATGGATGAGCTTATAAAGGCGGTGGTAACGTTTCTTTTATATATGGTATGGATTAGCTCATTAAGGCTGTGGTAACGTGATGGATTAGCTCATAAAGGTGGTGGTAACGTGATTTTATACGGTATGGATTAGCTCATAAAGGCGGTGGTAACGTGCTTTTATACGGTATGGATGAGCTCATAAAGGCGGTGGTAACGTGATGGATGAGCTCATAAAGCGGTGGTAACGTGATTTTGTACGGTATGGATTAGCTCGTAAAGGCGGTGGTAACGTGATTTTATACGGTATGGATTAGCTCATAAAGGCTGTGGTAACGTGATTTTATACGGTATGGAATAGCTCATAAAGGCGGTGGAAATGTAAGATACATTGTACTACGGTATGATTCGGTATGGATTAGTTCATAAAGGCGATGGAAATGTAAGATACTACGATATGGATTAGCTCATAATGGCGGTGGTTATGTAAGATACTACGGTATCGATTAGCTCATAAAGGCTGTAGTAGCTCATAAAAGTGGTGGTTATGCAAGATATTACGGTATGGGTGAGCTCATACAGATGGTAACGTGGTAATGTAAGATACTACGGTATGGATTAGCTCATAAAGGCGGAGGTAATGTAAG